ATAGGCTGAAAACTCATGAACATTGAGCAATTAAAATACCAGTTAATGGATAACCTTAATCACACCTTAAAAACAGTTTTAGAAAATAATAATATTTAAATTATAAGTTACAAAATAAATATATTTAAATTTTAATTAATATTATTACTTTATAATAATTCTTTTTGAAATATCTATTAAATATTTAATAATATTTAACAATATATTCACTTTAAAATGTGCATTGGCCTTACTTAGAGGAAAATGACATAGAGATCCCAAAAGGATCAATCAATTCAATTTAAATTCCAAGTATCAACTTGTAAGAATTTGCAAGTTTGACTCTCAATCTTGCAACTTCATGGTAATGAATTTACAATTTATGTTTCAAATTTTAATAAGAAAAATAAATTTATTTGTTTTTAACTATGTTAAAATTTTAAAAAAATAAATTATAAATTTATTTAAATGATATTGTAAAATTAAGAGCCAAACTTGTAAATTCCTAAAAGTCGACACTTAGAACCTAAACTAAATTAATTAATTCTTTTAAAATCTCTCTGTCATTCTCCCCATACTCAATCTCAATGCCTTTGTGTCCACCTTGTTGCTCATTGAATATTACTCCTCTAGTCCTATTTATAGGACAGGGAGAGAGAGAGAAAAAAAATTAGTCTGATTTATAGGGTATTTGTTAATTTTTAATACTCCTCTTTACATTTGGACCTTTATTAAATACTTTGAATAAAATTATTAATAATGAAATTTAAAAATATTTATTAAAAGTAAAGGTAAAAAATAGTTAAATTTTAAGATAAAGTTAATAAAATTTAAAGTTTTCTTTAATTTTGATAAAATATATTAAAAGTAATTTATATATAAAATCCGATGGAGTATACCTCTTGCTCAATTTCCTTTTGCTATTCAATTTGGGGTGTCTGTTGCCTTTTCTGTTGCCCCCTCTAATGCCAAAATCTCAACCCTTCATTTGGTATATTCCCTATATAAAAAGGGTGGGGGAGGGGCCCATAGATCTTTCATAAACATCCACGGAGACTTTACGTAATTTGTGGCAATTTCCAAGAAGTCGAATAAACAGAAAAGAGATAGTGTAACATTTAATTTAGTCGCTTATATTTGTGAGAGTCATTGATTTAATCTTTTAAATTTAATTTCTATCATTTTAATTCTTAATATTTCATAAATTTATCGAAATAATCATTGATCTTATAGATAAATTAATATTGTTAAATTATGTTGACTGGGTAATAGAATGATACTGTGACAACTACACAGATTAATAATATGGGAAGCAAAAATGTTGACTCTTGGATGAGAAAAGAAAATGCTCGGAAGAAAAGGTCACGAAGATTAAATTAAAAATTATAAAATAATATTATATTAGAAAAAGTTATATCAAGGAATTATAAACTAATAAAATCAATAATATCTTGGCAATTAGCATTAGGAGATTTGGTTTATGTATTGTAATCGATTCACATGTACAGTTCATATCAACAACCTAATTTAATTATATGCTAGTTTTTTTAAGGCTAATTATATGCCCGTTTGGATTCACATTCAACAAAGCAAAAGTCCTTATAAAATGTGATTTAAACTGGAAAATTGTTTGGATTTAGACTTTCCTTAAAAAGTCCATCCCAAATCCATCTAAATATGCTTTCTCTCAACTCTCATCAGAATTGCTTTTGCCATTTGCATATGAACTTTTGAAAATTTGGTTCCCATGTTACTCTTGAAATAATTTAACGATTGCTGAACTTTGTATCTCATTTTGTGTCAAAGTGGTAAACTGGCAAGGATAATGCTTCAATTTGTATTTAAGAGGATAATGGTTACTTAAATACACTTTAATTAATAAGGATCATCATTATAATAATGTTTGTTTGGTAAAATTTTTTAATATTTGTACAGACACAAATTATGCGTACATATGCATTTTAATTATAAATATTTTTAATATTTCAAAATTTATATTATTTATACATTTTTATTATAGAAATTATTCACCATATCAAATTTTATATTTTATATTTTTTTTCAAAAATAAGTTTTAAATCAAAAATTACATATCATAAAATTATGTACTTTTTAGTAATTGTACTTCTAAATGTACTTTTTGTCATATGTTATCTAAACAAATTTTAGTTTATCAAACTTGACTTTTGAAAATATATATATCCTAACACAAATCTCATTACAATAACTAACTTTTATTAAATTAACTTTTGATAAATGGACTTTTAACAAATAAACTTTTACCAAATTAAAAACCAAACATACCCTAACTTAACAATTGAAACAATCTTAAAAATTAAAATAATAAAAATCAAATTTAAAAAATTAAATCAATAAATTTTCAAACTAAATGCTATATTCTTCCTTTATTCAAATAATATTCCCTCCCTTTCTATATATAAGAGAAAAATTATATCACACATTTTAAGAAAGTTGGTTAACCATAATAATTATATCTGAAAATAAAAAGATTAAATTAAAATGTTCAATGTTAATCAAAATAAGCATGTATTAATTAGTTCTTATTAATGTAAATTATAAGGGGTGATTTAATGAATGTGTAATAAATGTTTGTTAAAATAAATAATTTTACTGATATAAAAAATAAATAAAAGGTGATAATTTTTTTATAAATAAAAATGGAGGGAGCAGTGAGTATGTTAAGTAGCAAGTCTCATAAAGTCATTGGCATATTCCCAACACCCACGTAAGTTAAAAGCCTAAAAGGTGTTGTGACACTGTCAAATTATTCAGGTAAGGTAGGATAACGCAAGCCCTGTTCTTTTTCGTATCAATCGGCTTTGCAGTACTTTGGATGTTGCAGAAGAAAATCACGATTGTCAATAAAAAACTAGTGTCTTGTCGATATTATCTAATCAAAAACAAAAAACAATTAATTAAAAGAGTATAAATACAAAAAACAAAAACAAAAGAGTGATGCATGTCATTTTGTAATTTAATGCTCTGAAAAATATAACCTCCTCCCCATACCAAAACAAAAATCCATGCTTAGTAAATAAAAACATTTGTATTTTAAAAAATAAAATAGTTTCAAAATCAAAAATTTTGTAAAATCAAAGCATTCATTAATTTCTATTAGTAACATAATTCATATTATAATTTTTAATTAACGATTGATCATGTCCTATAAAATTGTAATTGTTTATTGTTATAAAACTATTATGAATTTTAACTCACAAGTGACCACAAAAAAGTATTCAGTGACCAACATTCTTTTATCATGAAAATTAGCATTGTAATTTTGAAGATGATAATAACAACAATAATAATAAAAGGAAATTGGGAAAATTGATGTATAAAACATCATAAAACAAAACATAAAAACTATTGTTAAGAACTATTTTCTTAAAACAATCAAATATGATAACCCATAACTAATAATTAAATAAAAAGTGTATCATTGCCTTTTTGATAATACGGCTTTACAATGTAATTCTTAACCAATAAATCAATTTAACAAATTTTAGATAAACCAAATATAGATCACACTAATTCTCAAAAGAGAAGCACATCATCTATAGACCAAGCAAAAGAGAAGCACATCATCAATCTAGAAAGACAAAAACAATTAAACATATCCAACTAACATTTACACGGAAATGCATGTGCAAATTTAAAATTAAAAGAAAAATAAGATTGCCTATACCACTTTCAAGTGATAGTCAAAATAATAAAGCTATTGTATGAAAACCCAGACCGAACCGGCCGATTCAACTCATTAACTGGTGACCCGATCTCTTTTTCGATTTGGATTTCCATCGAAACCGGCCAGCCACTAACCTGGCGTGACCCGACTAATCCGGGGTCAACTAGAGATAACCCGGCTAACTTGATATCGGGTTGTTGGGTCAGCCGGGTCACTTTTTTAATTTTTTTTGAAATTGTAAAAACCAAATAAAAATAAAAATTCAGCTTGAAAATTAAAAAAGCGAGGTGATGGAGCAAAGTAATTAAACTGAATTTCACTATCTATAGTTTGAACTTCAAATAAAAGGCCTTAATTGTAAGTTTGAATTTAAAAGATTCAATATTCTTTCAAATTAATTGTGCCTTAATTGTTTTAGTCTTTTATTATTTGTTGTTGTTCATTTGTCTGTTACTTAGAATTTATGAATTATGATTGTCATTGTTAATAATTTTAGTGTTTTAGTGTTAATGATGATTAGTTTTGGATTTTTTAATGATTGAAGGGTTGTAAATTGTAATTGTAAAAATGAATATTTAGAAAGTTGTATTTTATTATTGTTAGACTTTTAGGTGGTTGTAATTCTATAATTATTATTGTATTTGTATCTTGTATTAGAGATTAATCTTGAATTTAGTTGAATATTTTCATAATTAATATTTTTTATTTAAGTTATATTATTTTAATCATTTGCCCTCCAGTTAACTCCTGGTTCAATCCAGGTTAAACCACTAACTCGCAGCCTGTTGGCTTGACCAGTTCAATGACCAATTCAATTTTCAGTACTTTAGATAAAGTACCTCAAATAACAATAACTCATAAAAGCAAGGCTGGAGCATTTCAAATGTGAAAAAGCCTCGAATGGGCTCAGACATTCTACTTCTAAAGCTTTGCTTTGTATTATCACTAAATGCTTTTAGAAATGCTTGGAAAGAGAACATTGTAGGGTTCAAAGTGTACAACTCATAGTGTAAAGGCTGCCCAATGTCATAGAAAACTAGCAACTTTTGCTTAAAAATAACAGAATACAAGAGATTATGTAAGATACTCTCTTTGGTCCTATTTATAGGGCAGAGAGAGAATAATTTTTTTAGTCTTATTTATAAGTCATGTCATTAAATTTTTATTATAAATTTTCTCTTTTACCCTCCATTAAATGTTGGAGAAAAAATATGTTATTGAAGTATGTATATTTAATAGGGGCTAAGTTGAGAACTTATTAAATTTTAAAATAGAGTTAATGAGTTTTAAAGTTTTCCTTGACACTGGTGAAACATGTTGGAAGTGACTTATAAATAGAACCAGAAGAGTAGTCATCATACATCACCATATCTAAAACCTAAACAAAAACCATTTGTTCAAAAAGTTTTCTGCTTCAAATAAAGTTATAGTTTTGCAACAGCAACATAATACATGTTTAGAGATAAATCACATCCAAGGAGATATAAAGTTCTTCTCCCAGGTAAATTGCACGATACAAACTTTAAATCTGAACTTTGCCCTCCAGGGTTTATGTTTTGACTTGCAATATAATCCTTTTGCACTCCAAATGTTACTGAAAAATGTTGCTTGCTCGCTGTTGCAGCAACTTCTGCACTCAAATCTTTCTCAACATCACTCTGGTGAAAAGAGAAAACCTAAACAATACTTGCGACTTTCATGGTTTATCGCATCACCCACCACAGATTTGTACCCAAAAGAAACATATTTATTGCCATTTGCTGGTAGTGCCAGTGAATCTTTTAACACAACTAAAATTAGAAATGAAAAAAATAGTATAGAAACAACCTTATAAATAAGAAAGTAGGGCACATCTTTATAACAATGGGCATTGCACGCTTGAGAATGGCAGTCACAGTTGTTTTGATTGTTCTTGTTTTTTCCCCAAAACAATGAATAAATAGACCTATTACATTTCAAAGATGCAAAGTAATATGGTTTAATTGTTCTATATAAACTTTAAAACATATAAAAAAATACAATTAAAATAAGATAGAAATAAAAAATTACTTAGAAACAGGGGTAAAGCCACAAACCTTAGTATACCATTTGTAAAATCTAGCAGCATTGTTGGTTAGATTACATTTGAAGTGCACTTGCAGGACACGAATGAGAAACAGGCAGCGAATTCGACTTGAACAGCGGGCGAAACTGGTACTGGAATTGAACTGCCATGGCAAGAATCAGACTAGAAATTATTAGCAGACAAATGGCAACCTAGAATAGAACATCAACGGAGAGCATTTCATTGTCCATTCCGAGATGAAGAGTGCAGCAATGCAGGAAAGCCACATTGGGTAGAGTGATTGAGATTCATCTCTATTAAACCTTGATGTTGAAAATTACACTGGACAAAAAACAACTATTATTGAACTGAACAATACTAACACAGTCAGTCAAGCGAGAAACATAATCCCTGAACCTATATATACATATACAAATAACAACCTATACACTAACTAGGTTGAAGCCCACACTTATTATAATAAATAAAATACATTTAAACTAAAAAAATTAATTCATCCAAATAAAAATTTAGTAGCATAATGCATCTAAATTCTGTCAATCAATTGTAATTTAATTAATAACAATAATCTCCCTTAAAAGTATATTTCATAAATAAAATAAAATTGTTCAAGTAATTTCCTCAACTTTAATCTAAATTATCAACTACAAATACTCCATAATTTTAATATAAATAACTTCAATTCATATATTATCTATAATATTGATTATTAAAAAAATATTTAAAATTTATTCTCAAATATATATAAATTAATTATTAAAAAAATACCTTCAAAGTTTAGTCTTTATGGCAGCAACGACGTCGATTCCTCTACTGTACAGTAGCGACGCACGGCGGCAATGGAGGTCTTCACGACGTCCCTTCCTCTGGTGTACAGCAGCAGCACAAATCTAAAACAAAGATGCAGATCTGGAACAGAAAACAGCAGAACAAATGGATGGCGATCTACAACAGCAATACAAATCTAGAATAGAGATGCAGATCTAGAACAATAAATAACAGACAGTAAACAGCAGAACAGATGGACGGTGTGGCGACGGCGATGCAGAGACCGGACAGCGACGGCGACGGCAACGTATAGGCGGATTGCAACTGTGACGCATAGGCGGATGGCGACAGCGACGCAGAGGCGGACGGTGATACGGCATAAAAACAGAGAGAGATGCGTGACACAGAGAAGGAGTGAGCGGTAACAAAAGAGAGAGAGGTTTGAAAGAAACTAAATGGAGAAAAGAAAACTAACGGATGGATAATAAGTACATGTGGAAAGACTCTTCCAGAGCACTCATTACGAAGCCCTCCGGAAGATCTAGCTCTTCCAGAGTGCTCCGGAAGATCTAGCTCTTCTGAAGCGCTCCGTAAGATCGCTCTAGAAGACTTATTCCGGAGCTCTCTTCCAGAGCACTCTCTTCTACGAGCGCTCTAGAAGAGCAAGCCATCTTCCAAAGCGCTCGTCGAAGAGTGCTCTGGAAGGATAATCTTTTGGAGCCCTCGTTCATGAGCACTCCGGAGGAGCTCATCTTTCGGAGCGCTTAAGTACGAGCGCTCCCGAAGGTATTTTTAAATTTTTTACAATATTTTATATATATTAATTAGGAGTGTTATCTTATTGAGAAGCTTGATATATAAGAGCGCTTATTTAGAAAAGCACTTCGGTAAATTTCGCATTCACATTTTGGAGCGCTTATTTAAAAAGCGCTCCTAAATACCCACTCCCAAAAATATATTCTGTAGTAGTGTTATTGGGCTCAATACTCCCCTCAAGTTAGAGTTGTACAAATCAAAAACTCCCAACTTGTCCATTAGATACTTGTGTGCATCTCCTCCAAGTGCCTTAGTCAAAATATTAGCTTATTGATTATATGATCTCACATGTTGCAGTCTAATCAGCTTCTGTTGAAGCTTCTCCCTTACAAATGGCAATCTATCTCAATGTGCTTCATACATTCATGGAATACTAGATTGCTCACTATGTGAATAGTAGCCTTACTATCACAATGAATCTCTATCGGTCCCAATTGATGAATACCCAAATTTGTCATCAGACTTGTAATCCATACTACCTCTGTAATAACAGTGGCCAAGGCTAGGTACTTGGCCTCTATAGAGGATCTAGACACTGTAGTCTGCTTCTTAGATTTTCAAGACACAAGTGAATCACCCATTTTCACTATATATCCTGTAACTAATCTTCTAGAATTAGAGCAACTTCCTAATTAGAGTCACAAAATGCTGTCAGCTTCATGTAATTTGTTGAAGATATCAGTATCCCAAGGTCGAGATTTCCTTTTAAATACTTAACCACTCATAATGCAGCATCCATATGAGATCACTTAGGCTTTTGCATGAATTGACTAAGCACCTGGATAGGAAAACAAATATCAGCTTGAGTTAAAGTAAGATACAATAATCTCCCAATAAGTCATCTATAAGAATCAGGATTATTCAAAAAATAATCAAGTTTCTGCTTCTGTTTCTTAGTTTTCTTGTTGGTTTTCTTCTTATTAACATGAATATCATATGTCAAATGTAAGTTTTGCTCCATAGGAGTAGAAAATGGTTTTGCAGCACTCAAACATGTATCAACAAGTAAATCCAACACATATTTTCTTTGATTTAAGACTTTACCTTTATCAGACTTAGCAATTTCCAGACCTATAAAATACCTCAAAATCCCTAGATTTTTAATTTTAAAATTGTCATGCAAGTGATTTTTAACTCTATTTATCTCCTCTAAATTATTTCCAGTAATGACTAAATCATCAACATAGACAATCACAATAACTATTTTCTCCCCCTTTCCTTTTATAAAGAAAGAGTAATCATTCCTACTTTGGTTGAAACCACTTGCAACTAAAGCCTTAGTTAATTTGACATTCCACTGTTTAGAAGCTTGTTTTAGTCCATATAAGGACTTAACAAGCTTGCATACTCTATTAGGTTTAGATTGCTCAAACCCTTATGGTACAGTCATGAAAATGTCTTCATCAAGATCTCCTTGAAGAAATGCATTGTGTACATCCATCTAGAAGAGAGGCCATCAATGTATAGCAGCCATTTTCAAAAAAACTCTTAAGGTAACCATTTTAAGGACTGGAGAAGACATCTCAAAATAGTCGATCCCCTCTTTTAGTTGTATCCTTTAGCAATAAGTCTTGCTTTTAGCTTATCCAAACTTCCACCAGCTTTATATTTAGCTTTAAAGACCCATTTGCATTTGCATCCTATAGGCTTCTTCCCTTGAGGTAGCTCTACTATATCCCAAGTGTAATTAGCTTCTAAAGCTTGAATCTCTTTCTTTATAGCTTAGACCCATCTCAAATCTTTAATCGCTTCCTCATAGGATCCTAGTTCAGAAATAGAATTAGTATATGAGAGGAAATTTTTATAAAAAAGAGATATATTAGAATAAGATAAGTAAGCTTGTATGGGATATAATATAGATACTCCCTTTAATGCTGTTGCCTGCTAGACAGGTTCTATTTCTCTATTGCCAGCTGTATCTGAATCTCGTAAGGTAGTGCACTCATAATCTTTTAACCACCCTGAGGCCTTTCGTTGTCTTGTGGACTTAAATGGAAGTGTCTGAACTATCTGTTGTTGCTCTGGTTGTCCTGCACCTTGGGGTAATGTCATTTGTTCTTCCCCTGCTTGTTCAATTTGCTGTTGTGTGTGCTCCAGTGCAAATTGACTTTGTTGTGATGTCTCTTCTTGTGAACCTGATTCATATTCATATATAAAGGGGTCTAGTTTCTGAAATGTTTCTCCCCCTTAATTTGTGATCATTATATCTTTGAAAGGAAACTTATTTTCTATGAAAACAACATGCCTACTCACCATCAATGATTTAGCTTTAAAATTATATAATAGATAACCTTTACTTGCTCTTGGATATCTTAAAAATACACATGGTTCTGTTCTTGGCTGAAGTTTACCCAAGTTATGTAATTTGGAGGCAAAAGCAAGGCACCCAAGTATTTTTAAATGATTCAGACATGGTACACTATGATGAATCAACTTAAAAGGAGTTTTAAAATTTAGGAGTTTACTAAGGGTTCTATTAATTAAATAAACAACAGTTTTTACACATTCCCCCTAAAATTTTAATGGAACTCTAGATTAAAATAGAAAACTTCTAGCAACTTCTAAAATGTGCCTATGTTTTCATTCTACTACACCATTTTGTTTAGGTGTATAAGGACATGATGTTTGATGAATGATTCCTTTTGCTTCAAACAAAACTTTATTTTCATGGTTAATAAATTCTGTTCCATTATCAAAACGTATGATTTTAACAGAGGCATTAAATTGATTATGTAAGTAATTCAAAAAGGGTCCTTATATGACTGGGCACCTTACTCTTATGTTTTAGCAATATCACCCATGTTTCATGAGAGAAATCATCAATGATAGTTAAAAAAATACTTAAAACCTTGGTGTATTGGCTCTCTATAGGGACCCCATACATCCATGTGCAGTAATTGAAATAAACAATCAGATTTAATATTACTCAGTGGAAAAGGTAATCGAGGCTACCTAGCTTGAATACAAATATCACAATTATTTACGTCAATAGCAACAATATCATTCCTTATAGGATCCAAATGTTTAAGGGAACTAAAAGAGGCATGTCTTGATCGACAATGCCATTTATTACTAATATCAATGTTTTGATTACTATGAGAGACCAAAGATGTTTCATTCTTCAGATCGACCTTCAACATGTATAACCCATTATGGAGCTTACCAATCTCCATAATCCTTCCAGCCTTCATGTCCTGCACAGTATAAATCTTAGGATAGAATGATATAACACAAAATACATCATTAGTTAATTAAGATATAGAAAAAAGATTGAAACATAAACCAGGTGCATACAAAACATTAGTGAGAGTCATGTTATCAGACTGCCGAATGGTCCCAACATGAGTAGCAGTTAAGAGTTGTCTATTAGGAATCCTAATTCTCTTAGTAGGTCCCAAATGTGGTTTATAATCATCAAAAAAAATCTAGACTGCTAATGACATGATTTGATGCACCAAAATCCAACAACCATTGATGTTGAAAAAATTTAGAATTAAGATAGTCACACAAAGCTGTAGTATTTCCTGCCATTCCCACAGAACCATCATTTGATTCCTTCTTAAGAAGTTGAAGGATTTGCTCATATTGCTGCTGAGTGAGAGCAGAGGTCATTATATTATCCATAGAAGAAGTAGTTCCTGGTGTGGTTCCTGTCTCAGAGGACATCATTTGGTAGCAGTTGCCCTTCCTGAGATTTTTTTGTTTGATTACTATGAAAATTAGGCAAAAAGCTTATTATCTAGTAGCGGTTGTCATGGGTATGTCCCTGTCAGTATCAATGATAGCACTCATCTGTGCTAGTGCTTCTGCCTCTTCCTTGACTACGTACCCCTTGCCCATTACGACCGCCTCTTGCTACCATAATTGTAGTTTCACCAAAAGGGGAAGGAGTAGATGGA